TGTGCTATAAGCTAATATCAGATTTGCATTGTAAATGTTCTCTTCTTGTCTTGTTTGTGTCTTTCAGGCAAGTCTCGATTGAGGAAGGAGATAGCAAAGGTCGTGAATATGGAGTTATGTTCATTGAGACGAGCGCAAAAGCAGGATTCAATATTAAGCTCTTGTTTCGCAAAATCGCTGCAGCGTTACCGGGAGTGGAATCATATTCAAACACGAAAACTGAGGATATGGTTGATGTAAACCTGAAACCGACTTCGAATTCATCTCAAGGAGACCAGCAAGGTGGAGGTTGTTCGTGCTGATGATGAGAAGAGAGAAAAGAGACAAATCTTTCCAATGAACAAGAACCTTAGATCGTTCGGTTTAGATCTCAGATTGGTACTTCAATCAATATCATTATCTGTCTAAAAGAAAAAAAGCTGTGAAATGTTAGTTGCCACTTTCAACTCGTATTCTTTGTTAATCCTGCGTTGTAACCGAGACTCTCTACATGTGAGTGTAATTTTTTCTTGATTTGAAGGGATACACAATAAATTAGCAAAGGGTCTCGAAATTGAGAATTTCACTGCAAGGGATTAATACTTTGAGGTAACATGAAATTAAGAGCCTACTCTAGTGTACTTATATGCACAGATTATGGAATGAAGAAGCTACGGAACAGAGAACAATAGAGAATTAAAGACGAATAAAAGGGAACAAGCCGAAAAAGAGATGTTTACAGTTAGATATTATTGTTGTTGTCACCGTTCTGCTTCATTCTCAGATATTTTGTTGTCGTCCCCGTTTTGCTTCACTCTCAGTGTTAGGTATATCAATATCAATGTCCCAACACTTGATCTGCAATCCAAAGAGAGATATTGTGAAGTCCAAGGAAATTTCTTCAAGTTTTTTTTTTTGAGTCAAATGCCCAAAAGACATGCAAATGATAGATCTCTCAGTCTCAGACACCATACACGCATAAAATCAAGTATACGTATATATCCAACATAATGTCATGATCACATTACTAACTTGAGATACACTAGATGGAATTGTCTACTGAATTTAGATGTGGATAATTAGTAGATGGTTTGGTGCTTTATGCTGGACTGAATACTTAAATTAAGTATTATGGATCTTACAAGATGGAGAATAGGATGACGATTTTCCTTGAATCAAAGGAAGCTGCACGCTTGTATTTTCTCCATCTGTTGGTTGGTGCATCGTGGCATCTCTCAGTCTCAGAGACCGACTTGCCTACACATAACTCAAGTGGGATTAGCAGACAACACAAGCAGATGCTCTTAGTGTATTACGCATAGATGCCACAAAGGGTTGAATGCCATATCATTCTCAAGCTTGTTTGTCTCTGCAATACCTTTTGCGTATGCTGTAAGAGAAAATACTTGAGACTGATTTTCAGACATGGAGATAATCCTTATCCAACAGGAGATTTAAGTTACTGGAACTTACCACATTCTCAGATTTCACACCAATGCCATCATGTGGAGTCACTGTCTCACCACTTCCCTTGTCTACGTTTATATCTACAAGGCATGATTTGTAGGCATCTGTACCTCCCAGTAACACATTTACAATGCAGTTTTGAGTTTTCTGACAATTGGACTGAGTATCGAGTAACATGTGATTTTTAGATGGAAGAAAAGAGTAAACTGCGAGGTACATTGCGGACTGGTGTTTCCTTCATCAGGTAGGACCGAGATAGTGCAGACATCTTGGACAATACGGTCATCAGTCTCCTTGAGAAGAAGAGGAAAAGCATCTGCATTTGAGAATGTTATCAGAATAGTCAAAAACTGAAATCTGTATCATACTTGGGAACTAACTAACTATACCTATGGCTATGGGATTCTGTTTTCCACCATCATTGAAGCTTGTGTGACTCACGAATTGCTTCTTCCCCTGTGAAGAATATCTTAGACTATTGAGGTACAACAAATAGCACCAAAACATCATGTATCCAGATTTGCTATTGAGATTCAAAAGTTGCAATATATCATGCAGGTTTGTTCTAGTTTCCTTTACATGATTGATTAATGGCTACAGTCTTGGAAACAAAGAGATTCATAACCTATATATAACGCATTAGCTTTACCAATCAAGAATCAACAAAATCGAATTGCGATTTCGTCACAGAGAGAGACATCTGACTGACCTCTTGGAAGAAGAAGAGTTATAAGCAATGCATGTTAAGAAGCTT